GGGGGGTGGAAGGGCTGAAAGGCTCCTTCTTCCTCAGGCCCGGGGACCTGAGGCCCCATCGGAACGAGCCGTCTCCGTTAGTAACGCAAACATGTAAAAAACTTCCCCGGGGTCGGTAACTGGAGGTTGTAACGTCTGTGGAGGGGGAAAAACAAAAGAAGAATAGATAAAGAGAAAAGGACCACTCGTTGCTTTCTGTACTCGGCATGCAATTCTGTGCTGATTTTTTCTTTCAGCTTTAGTTGCAAATAATTTGAAAAAAAACATAGTATATATTTTTTTTCACTTTGAAGAGTCTGATTCGTGCTTTTATGAGTGTTAGTTATCAGTACATGTGCAATTTTGAGATGCTTGTTAGGCTCTTCAGGAAAAATTGGAGATAGCATTCTGGAATTTTTTTTCTTATTGTTAATTCATGTTTTCTTCCCTGTTTATAGCAAAGAAGTAAAAATAGGCAGAAATCTTTTCTTCCTCTTTATGTAAATCATTCTTCAGAGTGATATTTAAATTGCAGTGTCTGTAGAACTACACTTCAACAGTATTTATCTCATCTTACTTGATAGCCCTGACTGCAAAGGCTGCTGAAAAATCTTGTCACCTGTCTGTTGTGTCCTAGAATTTGTTAAGCTGTTAATTCCATGACCTGTCAGCCTGACCAAAAACTAGATTTATAGATGTGTGGAGAAGAACAATGGTCATATTTCAGTTCCAAATGCTGAATTTACAGCTAATCATTATATAATGGAATGTGGCTTTTAATTTTGAGTGTTAGCTTATGTACATTTTGTATGGAACTAGTTATAACTGGAGGATTCCAGATACTTGAGTTCTGTCAAAGCTACTCTTAGTGATGTTGTAGTTCATTGGATGGAATAATTTTACCCAAATAGATTGGAGATAAAGTTTCTTTATCAGCCCATTTGTTTATAAACCTGAAACTCTCTGGGAATTTAATACTATATTATTACACTTAATAGCTAATTTATTTTGTCTTTTGTCTAGTTCTTATTTGTAAGTCTTTTTGTGATGTGGGTAGCTATTTAAGTTTCAAATCTGAAATTGAGACTGTAAAGGCTACAGGTCACTAACTCCTTTGCATCTATAAGGAATTGTGTTTCTTCACCCTGTTGGGAAAATATTTCACACAGCAATATAACTTGCTGCAGAGAGAAAAAATATCTGACCACAAGTTTTAAGATTTAAAACAATTACTTTTATATAATTCATGCAGGGGGGAAAAACTCATTTTAAAATGATGGACTTCATGTTTACAAATAGCATGAGTATTTGTTTACTTACAACTAAAGCAAGTTTAATACTTACAAACTGAGTAGGTAATTGTATATCTGGGTACATTAAAATGCATATACACTAGTTGATAATAATTATATCAGTAAAAGCAAGAAAACTAAAATACAGCATGCATTAGATGCCCTAAGAGTTCTGTCTTTGTGTAGGCTTGAGTTCATTTTGACTCTAATGAGCCATTTTATATTTTCTAATCTGACTGTGGTCTACAGTTTATTAACTGTTAATATAATAGTGAAATAAACTTGAAATAATATTGCAGTCTCACCTGAATTAACTGATGTGCAGGGAAACTATCATCTGTAGGAGATAGTATCCAACATACTTTTTGAGCATAGGAAGTGAGGTGAACCTTACTTCTGTTTGAGAATGTTATACTCTGTACAGCTGAATAACAATAAATGAAGAAGATCAGTTTGGAATGTCATAACTAGGGGAAGAGAAGTCCAAAATGAGAATATTGTGATTCAACAATCAAGTTTTAAGACTAAAATGGCTTTAAACTTATTTCAAAATGTAGTATAAAATGCTGGGATTCTTCAGTCAACTCTGCTTGTATATTCAAAGTCAAAACTGTTTTAATGGAGCTACTAATGGGTTTTCCAGCAGGGAGCTTAGCTTGACTGTTAAATTGTAGGCTGAGTTTGCAAGCCTTATTTTAATTAGATTTGCAAGCCACGTTTTAATTAGATTTGTTTTAAATCTTAAAATAGACTAGTTTTTTGCTTTTTAATCCATGACTGCTAGTTCTAATAAACTATTCAACAACTCTCTAGAGTAAATATTGTTCTTTTTATTATCGAGGTAGCTGTTATAAATTCTTGCTGTTTTTAAAACATGTTTGGGCTAGTTATTGCCAGAATATCACTTCTAACTAAAATGATCTTTGTCTGCAGATTCTAAAGCTCAATAGTAGTCTTCTGTCTATTACCTTGTGAAGCCATTTTCTTTAAAACTGAAGACTGAGTTGATTTTTATAACTAAGGGTTTGTCACGCTTTACAGTTAAAAAAACAAAAAAACTACACACAAAAAATAGGTGCATGTATATAGCTGATTATCCATTAAAGCTGTCTTGGTCAGAGTTAACTAATTGCTTTATCTGTGAAGGCTGTATCTCAAACCATTTTGGTTGTCTCTAAGCAAATTATATCTAGAAATAAACTGAGAATTCCTGAAGGCTTTCCCAAAATAAAAGGGAGCTCATGTACTAGTGCCTGTCTTGTAACATAGACATTACAGCCTTGGAAATACTGTCCTGTTACGTGGCAGAGAATGGAGCTTTGCATGCCTGGATTTTGTGGGCTGTATTGCTGCAACAAAATGGAGCTGTTCCTGTGCACTTCTGAATTTGTTGGGGAGGTGCAACTCCGCGTATCTGAAATTGCTGCAGCAGAACTGTCTAAAATGAAATCTTCATTTTTGGCTGTACTGTATTGATTATGGTGCTATCTGTTTAGCGATAGCTTACTGATTACAGCACAGCTTATTTTGAGGTATTGATATGTAATTTAGGTTTTTGCCTTGTGAATTGAAATCTAGAGTGCCATGGTAGCCATGGCTTTTAGAAGATATTTGTATTCCTCCATTCTATTCTGCATGCATTTAAACTGCTTTTCTAATTTTCAGAAACAAAATTTGGCCTTGCTAGGTTATAAGAAATACCTGAGTTGAAAAGGGAAGCTTAACTATTGTTTTTTATATATGCTTTTAGCAGATTAATTCATACATACAAATCTATTCCAAATAGCCTAACATCAGTGCCGCAGATGCGGGCTTTTCCAGACCTCTTCTGGGTGCTAGTCGTGCTGGTGTGTAAATTCTTGGCGAACTCCCAAAACTTCATGAGAAGTGTCAAACCTCAAGAGGTTTAGCTTGGCGCTAATGAGACAGCGCTGCCAAGAAATAGCAGAACGCATGGAAATAAGCCTTTCGCAACGCTCCTTTCCTATTGTTTCATACATAGGATGGTGTAACGTTTGCTTCAAATAAAGCAAACTGTGGTGCTTGTTAAATTATGAACACCAGATAAAAAGTAGGATAACTAGAGATTCCTTTCTCTGGAATATTGTTCCATAGGATTGAGATAACCATGCTGATCAAATAGCAGGAGAAGAAATCTATTCTTGCAAGAATCAAACCTGAAACGTCTCTAGTTTGAATGCTAGCACAGTCCTTGAATTTCAAGGAGCGCGTTTTAATTGTATTAGCATAATACTTGCATTTCATTATAATGCCTCATTTTGACTGAGACAAGTTTGTTATGATCCAGCTTTTTAAGGCCAGGGCTCGTATAAACAACTGTAGATGTGTAAAAATGAAGTCAGGAGGATATAACCTTTATGGCTGTGATGAGGATACAGAGAACCACTGAGAAGAGCAATGTGTAGATCAGAGATCAGCTGGTAGTTCAGTACTGGTGCATAACAGGCAATTGTTTGTGTTTATTTCCTTTACTGAAGGTAAGGAGGAGACAGTTTGCAAGCTTAGTAAAAAAGTTAAGATAGTTTATTTAGTTTTAAACTTAATGCCCTTGCTTGTTTTACTTGAAAATAACCATAGTAGTAGGAATTGAATCAGTCTCTTTAGTTCAGGAGAAAATCAAACTTTACACGTATAGATTAAGTATTCACATGATCCTAGCGTTGTGCGTTTTGTTTTGAAATGTGATATTTTAGCTCTGAATCGAAGACTGTGGTCGCTAGCGCATTCTTACCAATTTGGCTGGAATGGCCTTACATGCTATGTTATGCCTTCTGCCATTTTCCAAGTAACTGTACAAATGGACAGAGCTTTTGTGAAGTTAGGATTTTACTTTATATAAAGTAAATTCTGATCTCTACCTTTTTCTTACAGGTAGAGCAAGTGAAATTACTAGACAGGTTCAGCACCAGCAATAAGTCGCTAACAGGAACTCTGTACCTTACAGCAACTCATCTGTTATTCATAGATTCAAGCCAGAGAGAGACTTGGGTAAGCATGATGGATGCCTGTGGCTCAAAAATGCATGTTCTTCAGATGCGTTTGTTTGTCCTTCCTTCCTGATCTGAGGTTGAATTTGTTTGCTAAAAGTTTTTAAGTTATAAGTTGTTCCTTAATCTTTCCTTGCTTATGATGTCATAAGCAATAAGTTAAAGATTTATAGACTGCTCTTGCCGTACCAGGCATGATGCCTTTGTGGTTGAAATTGGATACCGTTGAAAGTAATTCTTACTTCTATTCCACGTCCTGTATTTTCTTCTAAATAGCTTTCATTGGTATGCCTGAACAAATGTGTGTCTCTTTTTGTAAACCTATCTGACTTGCACTGCAATTTGCAGGTGGGAGTAGGAGACTGCTAGATAGCTTAAGCATCAGGTTTAAAATGTCGACGTTACCTTTACCTTACGTTTAGATCCTGCCTAAATTAAATGAGACGGCAAAATCCAAAGACCTATTGTCTGTTGAAATCTTCAATATTTCATATACTTTTTCAGAATGATAAGCTACTATCTCTTCCAAAGTCTTCATCCTTAGAAGATAGGAATTTGGAAGGGACTGCAGCCACTTGATGAACTTTACTGGTGTTGTATGATCAGAAGTGACTCATTCAGTAGTTTCTCTGCCCAGTTCCCTGGTGCTATGCGTGTAGGCAGCAAGTTGTAGCTGCCACTATAGCCCAGCTCTCTGACTGAGCTCAGCACTGTTAGGTTTATACAGTTGAAGTTCATCCAGGACAAAACCTTATTTCCCTTGGGATGGTTCACTTTTTTCCTCCTGTAGGTAGAATTTCTCACCCTAAATCCTGTGTCCTGGTTATCTGATTAGATGCCTCATTTTGATTGGTTATTTGTTTCAGTGATTTGTTTTGAGATGCAATGTGCAGTCTTCTACAAAAGAAATTGTTATCCTCTCATGTGAAAGGAGCTGTTCAGGAGAACGTAATTTAAGCAGCATTATCTGCATCTCTCTGTGCACTACTCTTCTGGCTGAACTTTTTTTCAAATTAAACCTGTGTGTTCGTATTGGATTTCTGTGCAAGTACCCAATAGTGCAAATATCAAGTATAATTACGATAATGTCTCTCTTCAAGATGTAGACTCTTCATAATAAAAGCCTATTTGGCAGCATAGTTTTCAAATGCATGTCTAATTCTAATCAATATTTGAGAGGAGGAGGTTAGCTCAGTGAGGTAATTGAAATGCTGTGGAGAACGTGCTGTTCAGCTGAGGTAATATATCTGACTTTCTTCTGATTGAACAACTGTTACTTTCTCGTGCGTCTCACCAGGCTCTTTGTAGATCTGCTACGCAGATCAAATAAGCTCTGTGAAGGGCCCTTGTATAGCCATTACTGTGGCAGTATTCTGTTAAACTGGTTGGAAGGCTCTTATCTAGACATAGCAGTCACTGAGCTAGGCACAGTGCGTATTATGATATATGAGAGATTTTTCTTACTGCTTTTTTTATATCTCTCTAAACAGTTTGTGTTGCCTCAGTTGCATTCCTGGCTTGAACGTTAAGAGGCTGAGTGTAGTCTAGTGGTGACTGATGTGCAAAATGCTTAATGTAAACTACACTGACAGGCAAAAATACTTACCAGATACTGGAATTCTAAAATCTTTGGTCATCTTCTGTATGTTCAGTAGTGGTACAGTTTCTTCTGAACTTTAAAAATTTGTGTTCCCTGCAAACATTAAAGTATTTTTTCCTGTTTTACCCTGATTATATTTTCTTTTGCGTTATAAAATTATGAAATATGTTCCTATAAGCATTTTTAAAAAATAATGTTAATTTGTCAGTTAGCAAAGTTAAACAAAAGGATTGAACATCCCCAGTGGAGTTTTACTTCTGAATCTTGCATTTGGAAGGATATTTATTGCTGCTTGCAAACATTAGATAAAACATCAAAATACAATGGAAGAGAACAAGCATAATTCTAACAAGTCATGGTAGCTGCACCAAAATGTGAATCTTGGATTTCTTCTTATAAACAAACGATTGACAACTCATCACAATCTTCCTTCAGTACAGCTTAATTTATCTTAGGTCTGCTTTTACAAATAGTACACTGTTGTCATTATTCATCAGTACCTTTACACTGTTAGTACTTCTCTGCCATAGATATTGCATCATCACATTGCTGCAGTGGAAAAACTTCCCTTGACTACTTCTGGCTGTCCCCTTGTGATTCAGTGCAAGAACTTCAGGATTGTTCACTTTGTTGTTCCCAGAGAGAGAGATTGCCATGACATTTATAACTCTTTGCTCCAGCTGTCAAGAACAGGTAAGACTTCCAACCCCAGAAGACTTGTTATCTGGGCATATACTGCCAAGTTTGTGGAAGAACCTTTTTTTTTTTGTCAATGTGCATTATGTGAAGTCTTTGAAATGGATTTGGTATGTAAAAGAAGGTATTAATCTGTTGTGTGTGAATTTGGAAGTTGTTGCGTTGTCTGGCTTTCAAAGCCAACTGATGTTGGATAAAAGGATGTAAGATTCCAGTAGATCCTGGATTTACAGTATTATACCTAGAATTATGGATAAATGCATAGTTTCTCATAATTTGTGTTTCATGGATAAATTGCTATTAAACAAGTACTTTTGCTACAAATTTCATGCAATTTTGAAAATAAAGCTGAAATTCTGATGTCAAAGTAACACTGCCAATTTAGATTTTTAAGACTTCTGGAAAAAGCACAAGAGACCACATTAGTTGACAGAATAGTGTGAGATGTGCTCATATGTGAGTAATATATTAGAAAATCATGATAGATTATTTTGAAAGCTTTGTCTTCCTCCATTAGGAAACTTAAAGTTTATTGTTTGTAAAGAGTAAGAGATTCAAATTTCTGTTATTACCTCCAAAAACAATTTCTTTTTTTTAGCTTCTGTAAAGTTTTCTAATAATTCTGCATTTGTCTCTTGTTTAATTTGGTGGGTCTTTGATTTGTGAGCTTTATTTTGCCCTTATGGCTTTGGAGATGTCCAAGCGGAAATACTGCAAGCAAACTCTTTCAAGAGAGTTCTTATAACTTACCTTGACACAATTCTAGATATCTGGTTAAATTAACTGCGCAAAGGTTGCTGAATAAATATTTGAAGAGTACCAGTGTCTCTTCAGTCTCACTTCTGAGACTCTTTGAAGAATCAAGTTTTCTGTGCAATTCAGGCAGTTTCAGGACTTTTTTGAAAAACATTTTGAATACATTGTCTAGTAACAGCAATCCATGAATAAGTGGTGGTGTTTTCTAGAAAAAGGCCACTATGTCTTTTAAAGACACCGTGGAAAAACTAGAATGCTATAGTGTAAATTTGGATGCAGGGGGATTTGGAAAATCCTACAGGAAAATGGGATATCTTGAGCACTGGAGCCATTTGTGTAGCATGAAATTTAATAGCATAATTTGTAGGAATATGAATTTGAGGACCTGGGGATGGCTGCCTGAATAGAAGGAACCTCAGAACACTGAACTATATCTGCTGCTAACTTTACTTTTTAATGTGACTCAGCTGTGCTACACCTCTGCCCTAACACTTCTGGGGACTAACTCATTGCATAGTCTTACTTTTCTTTTATCTTTTAGCACAATATGATGAACTGTATGCCTTCTCCTATAATCCAAAACAAAATGCATCTGAGCAAGTCAAAGGTTGGCAGCTTATTGATCTAGCAGAAGAATATAAGAGAATGGGAGTGCCAAATGCCAATTGGCAGTTGTCCGATGCAAATCGTGATTATAAGGTAAGGGCTGTAATGGAGAAATGTGTTTACCTTTGCATCTGATTTTGCTACATCCCCTGGCTCTAGCCCTACAGAAACAGTGATACTGTAAAAAGTTATCTTCTGCAGCAGATCAAGTGTTTTTCCATCTGCAAATTTTTATCTCCTTAGTGGGCCCTTTAAAAACTTTCTGACTGAAGTTTCTTCTAGGGCCTGAGAAGAGAGTATGGATGCACACATTCTTAGAGTATAAGGTCTTCCTTAATTTGCTTACTTGAAGTCCAGCAACAGCAGTTTTGATGCTCTGCAATTTTGTAACAAATCTTTTTGCTGGGTAGGATTCTGCTTTGGCATTTGCAGTGCTCGATAGGGTAGGCAGTGGCTGTGGTGGTGCATGTCTTAAGATATTGAAAATATTTTGCAGTAAACAACAAAAAAAAATTTGAAACAAATTCTTACTGTTTCTACTGAAGAGTCTTTGTTCTGGAGAGGTGAATGCTAGTACAGCAGAGCTTTGCAAGAGTGATTCTGTCACTTTCACATCAGTTTGCACTTTTTTCATCTGTGGTCTGTCTCCTCTCCTGAGATATCTACATGTATATGCAGAAACATGCTAGTGTTTAACCTTTGTCTTTTGTTAATTATCTTAGCTTCTCTCAAATTGAATGCAATGAAACTAGCTTAGAGTTATATATCTAGTGCTAGGTTTATTGTGTGGCCTGTATATGACATTTTTCTGTTGTATATCTGTCTCTTTCAGATTTGTGAAACCTATCCTAGAGAACTTTATGTTCCCAGAACTGCAAGCAAGCCTATAATCGTTGGTAGCTCCAAGTTCAGAAGTAAAGGAAGATTCCCAGTATTGTCCTATTATCATAAAGAGAAAGAGGTATAGTCTGTTTTCCTTGCGATGCAAGCGGGCTGAAAAGTTTCTCAACACTTTCCAGTAGTTCAGGGTAGATAAGGAAGTAAGTATACTAACTCATCTGTATGAGTATGATGCAACTCTAGATAACCTTAAAAACAGATAACCCGAGTGGTGTCTAACAGAAAGCTGAATTACACTAGGCCAGTTAAAAAAAATAAAATCAAATCCCTAAGTAATTGTTGAGTCTCTTAAAGCTTTCAGAAATCAACCTTAAGATCAACTGAAGATAGTTTTGTTTCAAGTGATCTATCTTCTTGATACATGAAAAACAAAATGTTAGGTTGAAAAGGGGGGAGAGGGGAACCAAAAGAATAGAACTGGTTCCTTGAGGAGGTGTTTTCAAGGTGAAAAGACTAGAGAAAATCAGACTTTATGAGGTTTGACAGAAAGTGACTTTGTGAAACAACAGCTGCCTATCTCAACCAGTAGGTATCTTTGAGAGGAAGGCAGATTATCAGCTTGTCAAGTTGAAGAATTTGTGCAGGAAGAACGCAAAACTAATGGATGCATTTGGGGCTAACTGGAAGATGTACCATATACCACCTGAAATGGAATGCAACTAGTCTAGAAAATGACATGGTGAAAATTACTTCAGGCTCTAACATGCCATACTTTCAATAATAAAACCAATAACAATGTTCATTTTATATGAAGCAAGTACTTTATTTTCGTGGAGTTCTTTCCAAGTCTTTTTTTTTTTTTTTTTAAATCTTCTACCTAGGAAAGTCCACTATGTAAACTGGTACCTTATCTCTGCAGTAAGAGATAGGCCTGCAAGTGGTATCCTTAGAAAGTTGGAACACTCATTCTTCTGTGCAGGGGTGCTGTGGCTTTAAGTACTGATATCTGTCGAATGAAACAAGTTGACTAAGCATTTTCTTAGAATTATGGAAAGCACTTCAAATAGAGGTGTTAAACTGTTGTTAACTTGTTCTTTGATTTCTATTTTAGGCTGCAATTTGCCGATGCAGTCAACCTCTCTCAGGTTTCAGTGCCAGGTGCCTGGAAGATGAACACATGTTGCAAGCAATCAGTAAAGCAAATCCTTCAAATCGCTTTATGTATGTCATGGACACCAGGCCAAAGGTATGTATTTCTACAGGCTAGTCTTTCTTTTCCTTTTGAACATTAGAAAAGGGTACAGGGATACCTCTGATGTGACTTCTAAAGATTTAGAATTAAATATAAATCTCTCGGGCCAAAATATTCCTTAAAGGTAAGCTTTTGACAATCAAGCAGTAGATGCTTGCTTTCTTAAACAAGTTGAATCCTTGTCAGGGCTCAACTGGAATTCACTGAATATGTCAGTGAATCTTTGAGGAGGTGCACTAAACATGGGTTAAAGCTGACTGTAAACCTGTTTTGAGAATCATTTTGGATAAGATCTAAGGCAGCTTAACTCCTTGGAACGAAATTCATGAAGAAGTGGTGAGTTATGGGGGGTTATTTTAGAGTGGAAGGAAGGACTGTGCTCTCTGTGAATGCTATGTGAAAGCTGTTATTACTGTCCCCCTTAACTAGGGAAGAGTAGGAGAAATTCAAATTCTGTTGTAACATTGTGAAGACATACTTCAATGCTCTGCCTAGTTAATTTGAATTACTTTTTTTTATTTGAGCCATCATGTGATATATGGGATAACCTTCACTTTGTAGTCCATCTCTTGTTTAGACTGATATCCATTTCATTTAAATCTCTGAACACAGGAGCTAGAAAGCAAGGATGTGAAGGGCAAGTCCTACACTGTAGGATCTTAACTACTTTAAGTAGACCGCCATGGTAGGTCTGACTGATGGACTGAAACTGTGCCACCTGTAGGTTTTCTAATTGTTTTAACTTTTATAGCTGCCAACAGTTTCGTTTTGTTCCCAAAAATTTTTATGGGATTTTTAGAATGCCTGAAAAGCATGTGTATATGGTAAAGTATGAGATTTACTTTTTTGCTTGTTATGTTAATTGTACAGCAATCACTTCTTCCAGAAATGTTTTTAAATAAGTAACTGTTTGTGGGGACGCTGAGGAAAGAAGAAAACGTTAAGAGCATTATTCAGACTTGCCGGTTTTGAATGTAGACTGCTTGTTACTTTTTATATAGTGCCTATTACCTTTCTTACACTTTAAATGTTTTCCAGTTGATTTGCCACAAACCTGTTTTATCAGAATATGTTTACAGGATATGTACTCTTGGCTCTTCATTTCAAGCATTGAAATTGCTTGATTTTATTTTTCTTAACAAAAACTAAATGCAAGTCAAGCCGATTACAGATTTTCAGTATTTCTGTTTTACTCTCTTAAGCTTAATGCAATGGCAAACAGAGCTGCTGGGAAGGGCTATGAAAATGAGGACAACTACTCTAACATTAGGTTCCAGTTTGTTGGAATTGAAAATATTCATGTAATGAGATCCAGCTTACAAAAACTTCTGGAAGGTATGTTCTAACCGTACTATAATAATAGTATATATGAAAATAGGATGACTGCTCTTCTGAAGTCTTTAATAGCTTATATAACCTGTACTGAGACTTAAAATATTTTGTCCTGGTTTTTCATCTAGTAACCAGCCTGCTGTACTTCATTGTGATAATGGAACCTGCTTTTAACCTTTATCTTTTAAGCTGTGGATCCTTATGAATGAATTTATGATTTATTTCAAGGAAAGTAGGGTGGCATATATCTGTCTTGAGTCAATTTGGTTATGTATGTCAGCAGCTTTCAGGAGAGATTTCTGCATTTACTAAATATATGTGCATGTGTGTAAAATAGTGTATATACATATAAAAAAGATTTGTGTGTGTATATAAGCTTCCTAATTCTTGAAGGAACACTTATTTCCACAGAACTAACAATAGGCATATGTAGTCTCTATGCCAACCTTGAACTCTTTGGCCTGGTGAGTGGCATCTGTGCTGATAGCTGCATCTTGGATAGCATTTAAGAAAAGTGAACCAGTTCAAACTACCACTGTCAGCTATAGGATGGTGAAAATGGAGTGTTAGAAGTCTTCTGTTTCCATCTTGATATTTTGCTCAATACTTCTGTTTTGTTAGGGTTTTATTTAGACCAAATGGCTGAAAAATATTATTACTTCTGTGTAACAGTCTGTTTTAGAGGTGTATGCAGCCCATGATTAAACATTGTAATCCACTAACAATTCTTCTATTTGACTTAACTAACAGTATTTATCAAGTTTTCTCTAGTAATAGCTTTTTCCTTGTATGGAGGATGGGTTTAATTACTAATAAGTTTTCTGTTAAGTGACACTAATGTCTCAGCAGTTTTGTAGTTCTCCAAATTAGGTTTTGGGGTAAATACATAGCTATCTCACTTCTGTTTCAGTCCATATGGAGTTTTGCTGAATGCCAGACCAGAAGTTTAAGACTTGTTTTTTTGACTAGTTTACTATCACAAATCCTTCATTCCCCATATTTGCTGCCAAACAGGGATTACGGTAAGAGCTTTCCAAGTTTGCTAGGTCACTTGACTTTGAACGCTTTCTTTGGCCTCTCATACTTAATCTGTGGAAGAATTACTAGACAAGCAGAAACAGAATTGACTTAAAGGTAAGAGGTTTTTTAAGTGCGGATGTTCTCGCACTGTAAACATTTCTACTTGCTAGAACAAGATGATAACTGGGGATGATCTTCTTGGATCGTTTAATTTAGTGATCTGTTGTTGCAAGTAGTTGTATTGTGAATACAATAAGCCCCACTTGTACCTAGTTCTTGGCCAGAAGAGCTTTCATCTCACTTCCGGTCTAAATCTACTTAACTAAATCTTATTGACTGTCAAGGATATCTTTCAGTAGGTTAACTTTTCTCAGTAGGAAATTTAAACCCTGAAACCTGGCAAAAAGATGAAGTGGCTGGTCCTGAATTTCAAGTATACCTTCAAATACTGTTTCTAATGTGAGGATACTAATCCTGTTACTGATTGGCTCCTGGGATGTTGGAGGGGAAGGGAAAAGGGGAGTGGAATTGTATCTTTCCTAGATTTTTTTAAGAGTCTTTCCTACTCACTTCCTATGTTTTTGGGGAAGCATTGAATAAATGACTTTTTTCATACTCCTGTAGACATATGCTATCGGTGAGGTGATTTGGAAGAAAATGCCATGAAAAAGGCGCATAACTTAAAATGAGGTGAATGCTGCTAAGCTTCTGTGTACCAGCTTTCGCCTGATTGAGAACGTTCTGTTCGACACAATCAGGAATGTGCTATCAAAGACCCTATTCTTTCAAGACTCATTGTAACTGAGACTATCCTCAGATTTTTTTTTTTTTATAACAAACAACTGTTGTTCTTCCTTGGGCTTGTGGCCTCATCCTAGGCTCTTTGTCTATCTGCCTGATCTTGTAGTTAACGGAAGTGTAATTTCCTTCCATTTCCTTCCCTCTCTTGGTCTGCAGTGGAATCTGATGAGAAAATGAGATGTTTGTTTGCAAGTGGAACATAAGACGATCCTTCCCAACATCTTACTGGAAGGGGACCGTACCACAGAGTGCGTTAGGGTGGTTTACAGCCTATTCTTTCACTTTAATTCAGCTGTTTTCAAAGATCTTGCATGCAATGAGACAAAACTTGAAGCTTTGTCATCTTCGGTGTGGACACAATGACTTTATTCCCCTGATGGGCAGTGTTTCATTCTGTCCGTGTGACACTAATGAAAGAATCTTCAGTAATTAGTCTATGTGAAGGTACTGAGTCTAGGAAAGTCCAGTTTTTATACATTCAAAAAGGCATTATTACATAACAGAAGAGATTCCACTTGATAAGCAAAAAGGCATTGCTTATGTCAAGAAATGGCATTTCTGCAGAAAATCCTTACTTGAAAAGAAGTTCAATGATAGCCCTCTGAAAGGCAGCTGCTGTAATCTGCTGCACGTGTCAATGACAGAAGTATATTAACTAAATCTTTTTTCTTTTCTTTAAAAACAGCCCTCAGCCCCCTCTCAACCCCTGTGCTTCAGGTAACAGGTCTGCAGGTTCCTGTCACCTCTTGGTGCGATTACTGCCTGAGACATTGCTAGTCATATGTATAAGGATAGTCAAGTGAGGGAAGATAGAGTTCTTTAGGCTTATGTGCTTGGAGGGTGTGTATTTATGATGGGATCTGTGTAGACGAAGCCATGTTGAAGAATGCTTATTGTGAGGTAGCTTAGCATCTTTTTTTCCAATGGGTACCGTAAATCATCTTCAACCCTTTTGGGGAGCATAGAGGATTTGAAATATTCTTCAACACAAGTCTCAAACCCGTGTTAGTGCAATTCATTTATTTCATCACTAAGTAATCTAAAATGTCTATATTAATTCACAGAAATATGTAAAGCCCTGAGAATTAATTTCCTATATGTTTTTATCTTTGCCTCGGTCCATGGGATCATGGAAATCTAGCTAGGAAGGGAAGACGCCAGAGATGAAATGTTTATACCAAGCTGGAAATGCTGATCAAAGGCAGGGTTTGACAGAAGAACCTAGGTGAAAGCAAACCGAGAGCTGCTGTTTATTTTCTAACTGGAAACTTATGCTGTAAAGCACAAGCTATAGAATAAGAGTGTGAAGGGAAGAACAATGCCTCTAGGTAACATACCCTTCTCTGTTCAATCCCTACCCTGGTTGGCTTTCCAGGTGTGTGTGTAGAGGGTGTTTTATTGAATTGCCTTTTTTTTTTGGCCCTGCTGTGGTTTGAGCCACAATGGTTTGCTAGCTTCCTTCCCCCTGCTGCAGTGAGAGACATCTATAGGCTTTTGAAAGAGTGCTGCTTTATTTATTTTGGAGTTTCTTTGTTATGGCATTGAGTGGCAACAAACCTCCCTGGTCAATGGGGACTGTACCAAAATTTGTGTGGCTGAAAGCTAGGAAGCATGTAGTGCAGATATAGGAAAGCTCTAGAAGTATTGGTTTCTTAAGAGTCTTTACCCTTTGTTACACCATGGGACTTGACTGAACATGAAACTGAGTCACAAGATGACTCGGTGAATTTTGTTTTTTTGCTCTCTACTGACTCACTTCCCCCTGTACCCAGAGATAAAGAATATTTTGCAGGTTGTATATGAGTGACTCCACTGCTAGCTTTCAGCTACAGAGTCTTTCTGCGCTCTCTCTCTATATATCTTAATTTATTTGGGGCTTGCCTACTTGGCAGAAAGTAATTTTTCCTTGTGGTAGTGGGAGGTGCTTTTGTAGATAGCAACTGAGGGAATTTTCTCCTAGGATTATACAACTCTGAAGCTATATCAGCCAGGGAGTGTTGTCTATTTTATGCCAGAAGTTCCTTGTGGTTGAAACAGTAATGTTAACCTGTCTGAATTGGTGCTCAAAATAATTAGTAAAAAGGAGTTTCCATCTTATGGTGTCCTACAAAAATCAGGTTGACCTGTCTCACTTGTGAAACGCTTTCACAGTCTACCTCTATACCTGTTGTCGCTATGCTGCGAGGCAGCTTTCTTTTAATCTGGATTTTCCTTTCCCTGTCCCCTTGCTTAGCTTTAGTGTTACAGGATCAAAGTAAACTGGGAAAGAACAGTAGAGGTCTTAATCAAAATTGTAATGTTCTGGAGATGAGCAAGACTTAGTCTCCATGGCTTTCAGTTCTGCGCTGCTCAGGTACTGTGCTCACTTTCCCTCCTGCCTAGGGGAGTAGAAGGTGGCTGAGCTCTGACAGTCTAACTGCTCAGAACTGTCTGTTTTGTCTGAATGTGACTACTTGGTCTTAACAGTAGTAGCCTGTAAGTATTTCTGGCAAGCAGGTAAGCGTTTATGTTGCCTTCCTCTGCAAGGCAAGGTGTTACTTCCTACTAGGGGTAACCAGTCTCTTTACGTTGAATGTTTTTTTGCCAAAAAGATGCAAAGATCTTATTCTTGTCACTTATCGTTGCTGCAGCTCTGCTGAGTTGAATTTTGGGTGGGGAACATATTTTGCATTGCCTCTTCCCTCTTGGGGAGGGATGTTTTCCTGAAAGATACTTCAAATCAATTTTTTAAATAAGTATATTGTTTCCAATACCCTTTTTCCATTGCAGGGTGTAGTTGCAGCTTTTTAGGGCTTTCTAACTCTTTTGGTTTCTTTCAGTCAGTGGTACAAAGGGTTTGTCTGTCAATGACTTCTTGTCTGGTTTGGAGAGTTCTGGATGGCTGCGTCATATCAAAGCTGTACTGGATGCTGCTCTCTTCCTAGTCAAGGTAACCTGTATACTGCTTATTTCTTTGAGGGCAAGTTGACTTGGTCCCTGGCAAAATAATACTTGATATTGTTTGAAGTGTAAAAATCTGCAAGTAGTTGTCTTTAGTTCCCTTTACTGTCCTTTTTTGGAGGGAAGGAGAAGCTTGGAAAAAAAAAAGCACATCAGATGTATTTGTGTATGAGTCTTGCATGTTTCTTACCTGGTACAATCAGTAATGCCAATTAAAGTTTTGGTCTCTTGTAATGCTATTTGGTCCCCTTAGTGAAGCATGAAGGGATTTTTACGCTACTGGTTCTTTTAGGTACTCACGCAAGATCTAACCAATTTGACTGGAGGTGGAGGAGACTTCTTAGTGTACACTGAAGAACAGCTTATCAGGCACTAATTGCAGAAAAATCAAACTGGCTGTATGCTGAATGTACTTGGCAAGGAAATGGGATTGCTTATGAAAAATTGAAAGGAACAGTTGCCTTTGCCAGGCATCTGTGAAGCAAAGTGTGTGGTGGGGTGTGTGTGTGTGTTTTTTTTTTTTGTTTCAGGTTTTTTGCGGGAGGGGGGAGGCTGAGTCTTTTTTACTAGCTGAAATAACAAGACTTATGTTAAAAGTGAGTGCTTCTCCTAAAGATGACCCAATGAATAATTAGGTTAACAGGATTCAAATTCTTTGCAGTTAATGAGCACTTCCTAGTCCTGAAGTTTTTTTTAAATGACTAAAAAATAGGTATTTTTTGTTTTCTATACCCTGCTTGGTCTGTAGTGTGTTTTTTTTAATGTTTATTGAAAAAGCATTTCTAGTTTTAAAAGGCTAGAAAGGGAAATGGGAACCGCTGTAGAAGTCACTGTTACTTTCCACTGCCATCGTTGCACAAGATATTTCCCTTCTTTATAGGGCATTTCCTGCCTTCCGCTGGAGAAGGACAGCTTTCTGATTAGTATCTAATATCTTTCCTCATAATAAATATTTTTCTGTGTTGAAATGGACTATGCTCCGAGTTTGGGATTAATGTAGCTTTGTAATTATTTACTGAATTCTGATATCTGTCTAGAGTATGCACTAAAACAATAATGTTTTACTTCGCAGGCAATAGCAGTTGAGAGTGCAAGTGTATTAGTGCACTGCTCGGATGGCTGGGATAGGACTTCCCAGGTTTGTTCCCTTGGAGCTCTCTTACTAGATTCCTATTACAGAACAATTAAAGGATTCATGGTAAGCATGCTGTTATGTTATTGAATTGCTCCTTGGTAAACTGAAGTACATAAAAGGTTTCCGGGTTTGAAAATGAGCAGTATAACCAAATTGATGGGTTGTTTTTGTAATTACAAGCATAAAATAAAATTGGTGGTTTGCTGATGTATCTTTCCTTTAGAAATATTCTGCTATGGGAAAGAACCCATTATTAAAAGTAATGATTTGAGAAACTGAATTATAAAAACTAGATTCCTTTTAGGACTGTGCAGAAGTGCTGTGATAACTTTCCCCTGCATCCATAATTAAGAAAATCACTATGAAATACAAGGGTACTAAAATGCTTACACTGTAACAGTAGGTGTGCTAAATTATAGTAGCTATATGCTTTTTACATTGGTGATGTTCAAATTTTTGATACACATCTTCTAAAAGCAACAAAAACCTCCAGTAAAATAGAAGAGACCTGTACATACTTCAGCAATCTAAATTTCTTCATCCTGGTATTGGAAGGAAGAAGAATTTTTGTATAATTCCTCAAAATTTAAGAGTAGGAAAGTCAACTTTTTCAGTGGCAATACGAGGTGATATGGGAACACGTGACAGCTGATACATACGACTAGCTTCATGTGTTGATTTTTAAAAACTACCTGCCACAAATCCAACACGGTGCAAAAGCAAAGTTCAGGAGGAATCGGAAAAGGATGAACATCCTCATGGGTAGTGAGGATGTGTGTAATCTTTAGATATCTCGTATGTGTGGGGGTGTTTTTATTGTTTTTATCTGTACTTTTAACAATTACAAATTCTGGGAATATGTCTGTAATGGGCATACAGTCCTCTATTCCTTCTGGTGCTTGATACTGTGGCTAATGTGATAAAACAAGCTGTGTCGATACTAACAATTTTACTGTTATAAAATGTTATTTAGTAAGTTTCTATCATGTGTTATTGGATAAACTATGATAGCAGGAGTGTAATATTAAAATTTTTCCCATATTCTTTTTTTGTTAATTGAAAGTTAGTTGCTATAAACTTCTTGTAGCTGTTCGTGTTAGGTCATATGGCTTTACTATGCTTAAAGTAAGCCCGGTTTAACAGCAGTTAACAGATTGACAATCGGATGATACATTTTGTTCTACTGGTTTTGGAAACATGCTTGTGTTTAGTTATACTAAACTACCTTGAGAATCTGTTGCAAAAGAATTGTTGATGAAAGTAAAGAACTAAAAGTTTTAAATACTTGCTCTTACAGTAGTTAACAGATTCAAATCTGAAACAATATATAGCCTGTGAGGGTAATACTGCAGGTGTAAGATTTAGTAACATTTTACCATGGATATCTTGTTTTTTTTTTTTTCCCTCTAGGTCTTGATAGAGAAGGACTGGATCTCTTTTGGCCACAAATTCTCTGACAGGTAGTTCATGCTTTTCCGGTGAAGAAAAATGTATATGTGTACACAGTGAATGAAGGATAAATACTCTAGTAAAAGTGATTTAGCATTTTGTATTAATATATGTCCATGCATACCTAAAAAGCTTATTGAATTATGATAATTACACTCCTGCAGTCTTGCTAGAAATTCTGAGTTGAGTAGGCTGTTAGCATTAGATAATGCACTCTGTATTACTGCTTATTCAAATACCTTTTCTTGAGCTACTTGTATCTTGCTCTCAGATGTGGATGACTGCTGCTGGATCCGCACATATGCCTGGACAATGCAAGACCGATCCAAAGCTACCTCCCAGCTGTTTAGGCAACATAAAACAGTCTTAAAGTTTTGATTTTTTTTTATGAATTTGTATTTACCTTTACCTTTAAGGTTGTTGAAACAATGCTTACCTTTAAAAGTTTTGTATATTCAGTTTTGTTTTTCTCTTGATCTGACCCATAGCAGCTACAAGAATAGCCTGCTGCTATGTATTGTTTAATAATTTACTTTTAGCTGGCATACTCCAAATGTTTATTGTGGAAATGGAGAACAAAGGAGCTTCTTAATTTTGTGTTGTGTTGCTCTTCTGCACTGAACAAAGATGCGACACAAATCAGAAATGGGTTAAATATGGACCCATTTAAAAATTGCCCCAGTTATCTAAGTTAGGTACTCAGACTCCCAACCCAAACTAATGTGAAACTGATGTAGTGTAGTTAAAAGCAAATACAGCTAAGATTTTTTTTTTAAGTTTGTAACTTAAAACTATTTCACTCTGTTTATGGAAAATTTTTTTTAGGTGCTGTCAGTTGGATGGTGATCCAAAAGAAATCTCACCAGTGTTCACCCAGTTCTTAGAAAGTGTGTGGAATCTGACTGAGCAATTTCCACAAGCCTTTGAGTACAATGAAGCTTTCCTTCTTCAAATCCATGAACATGTCCATTCATGTCAGTTTGGAAACTTCCTTGGAAATTGCCAAAAAGAGCGGGAAGAACTAAAGTAAGTATACTTATTGCGATGTGTCTCTCTTCTGGTAAATGAAGAACAGCTATAGATCTTTTTTTTTTTTTTGGGGGGGGATCCTAAATAAAAGTAAAGAGACAGGATAATTAGTACCAAAACAGATGTTGAACTGCATTAGGGAGGAACAGTGGTCCTCATGGCTTTGCATGCTGAAGACTTTTTTCTAATTTTGGGAGAAAATCCATACTCATCTTTTATAGGGAAAGTCAAGCTATCTCCCCCATCCTTTCTTTTCTAAAAATGGCTAAGCGTAAGTTTGAAAGTTTTGCTTCGTTCCCTTGCCAAACCTATCTATAGTTAACCTTAAAATTATTGCCTATTCAAGACTTTCCTGTCAGTAAAAAAAAAAATACTAGCAGGATGTCTCCAAATGTTTTCAATTGTAAAATACAGTTTAAGATACAGATGAAGTGATGACAAATTTACAGATATTTTCAAAACATTTATTGCAACTAGGCAAAACTTGCACAGCATAAACACTATTAGTTCTAAAACTCATAGTAAAGTTGACTTCTTCCTGGCATAATGTTGGATAGAACAGAGTGGAGTATTTCAGTCAAAGTGGTATTCTGGTAACTTTGGGGAGGGAAAAAAAGCAATTTAAATGGATTTATTATGTTGAGTCAAACAGATTCTGGGTTTTTACTCGCAGTCTGTATCTTGACCTTGATTTCTTCTTACCTTAAGATTTAAAGAGAAGACTTATTCCTTGTGGCCATTCCTTCTGGATGAACAAAAGAAATATCAAAATCCTTTATATAATCCAGATTTTTCTCCGAAGCTAACTCTTTTGGAGCCTAACACAGTGTCTTTCAATTTTAAGTAAGTTTGAATTAATACAGTATCTTTTCTTCAATTCTGTTGTTATCCTGGATAGTTAAAAACAGTCTGCTACGTGCAGGTTTTGGAGAAATATGTACCATCAATTTGATCGAAGTATGCATCCCAGGCAATCTGTATTAGATCTTATCATGAACATGAGTGAACAAAATAAACAACTGGAGAAAGACATTAAAGAACTGGAAGCTGTAAGTATTGCAAAATGCATGTACTTATTTGTGACTCGTTCTTCAAATTCATGTTTATAGTCTGTAGTAACACTACTGGCTTTCGTGTGAAAGTCATTATTATATGGCCTAGCACTTGTTCTGTGCAATAGTGAGTTGATCTTTTTCACTGTATAGTTTGGCCTACATCATAGAAGAATACAGCCAATGTTCTACTCTTAAACACAAGTTATTGTGCCTTTGAAGAACTATATTATGTAAAATCCATACTGTTCCTACTACCAAAGTATTACTCAATAGCTTAATATTGATTAAATTCATGTGAAACATCTGTGATAACAAGGCACCCATCTGTTACAGCTATGTGGCTAAACTAAGGATGTCAGAACTGTTTTACTTCATACTTGATAAAATGCAGATGCTAAGTATTTTTGTCCTTAACTTGTATGCAGGTTCATGCAATTGTAAGTCACCATAATTATGGGTGACATAAATTGTAATGCTTATTTGAAGATAGTTTTAGCCCCAAGGGATCCTATGTAAAGAGATCAGTATTCTAGAGACAACTTTAGAAGCTGCTACAGTAAACAGCCGGAAGAACTGAATGCAGTATATCTTTATTCTAGTATGAATTAATGAGCTGCATTTAATTGATGCTTCATTATAGTCAAGTATTGACTTCAAAATAATACCCTTCAAGAAACTCAGTTTCCTAAGGTAAATATCAGTTTTATTTTTGTGTGGCAACAAACGGCAACAATGTCTAACTCCTGTGCATGTTACAGTGGGGAGATAGAAAAAGTACAGCTGTTAAAATCCTGGGTAAGGATTAAAGGGCAGGGTAACATGGGTGACACTGTTGTGGGGGTTTACTACAGGCCACCTGACCAGGAGGAAGTCATCGATGAGGCCTTCTACCGACAGCTGGAAGAAGCCTCACGATCACAGGCCCTGGTTGTCCTGGGGGACTTCAGCCACCCTGACATCTGCTGGGAAGACAGCACAGCTAGGCACAAACAGTCAAAGAGGTTCCTGCAGAGGACTGATGATGATTTCTTGACTCAGGTGGTGGAGACGCCAACGAGGAGAGGTGCAATGCTAGACCTTGTACTAACAAACAAAGAAGGTCTAGTTGGAGAGGTGAAGGCTGGGGGCAGCCTTGGCTGCAGTGACCATGAGATGGTGGAGTTCAGGATCCTACGAGGAGGGAGCAGGGCAATGAGTAGGATCACCACCCTGGACTTCAGGAGAGCTAACTTTGGCCTCTTCAGGGACCTACTTAGGGGAATCTCATGGGGTAGGGCCCTAGAAGGAAGAGAGGTCCAAGAGAGCTGGTTAATATTCAGGCGTCACCTCCTCCAGGCTCAAGATCGGTGCATCCCTCTGAGGAAGAAGTCGAGCAAAGC